TGTGAGGAAGATCAGCCCTGAGCTAACATCCAATGCCAATTCTCCTCTTTTTTGCTGAGGAAGATTGGCCCTGGGCTAACATCCATGCCCATCTTCCTCTACTTTATATGGGACGCCACCACAGCATGGCTTGACAAGCGGTGAGTTGATCTGCGCCTGGGATCCAAAGCGGCGAACCCTGGGCTGCTTAAGTGGAGCGTGCAAACTTAACCACTATGCCTCTGGGCTGGCCCCTCGTAGTGTCTTTTATAGGGGTTTAGAAACTGGTAGATAGGGCAGGTTTATGGGAAAGATGACATTTGATTTGGGCATATTGAATTTGTGTTGGTGGTAGGAATTCAGAGGAAAATGTTTATCTAGCAGTTGAAATTGTGGATCTAAATCTCAGAAAAAAGGTCAATCTTTAGAGGTTCCTTATCAGATGTTCACATGTAGTTAGACTCAAGACTCATTTTGAGCTGTGAGTCTCACTGGGATGGGGTAGGCCCCAGCGTTATTCCTGTGTAGATATGTATCATTTGTGGAGTTTTCTCCAAACCACTCCTCCACTTTCCTCCTACAACCATCAAGATTTATATATTCAAATGTTTGTTAAGAGCTTCTTATGTAATTGTCACTGTGATAGATGGATCGTATTGAGAGTGATGAGGTCTCTAAAGGAGATGTTATAAAACATCATAAATAGTAGGCTGAAGAGTAAGCCTTCATTTAGGGAATGGGAAGATGATGTGAAGCCAGTGGAGAATGAATAGGTCAGTATGGGTAATTAGGTACCTGGAATGACCTTCCTGCTGAAAACAATTAAACAATCTAGATAAAATATTTTTTCAAATCTTCTTAAAGGCATTCATGAGCTAGTAAGAAATTCAGATTAAAAACTTAAGGCAAAAATTCAGAAAGGTAAGATGAGCTTAATGGCCAGCTTTCACATTGGGGGAATTTGCTGGACCTACTGAGTTTGAGCTTCTGTTTATATGACCCAGAGGAGCTTAGGATACAAAGCACAGGACCAATCCAAAATAGAGAGTCTCAGAGACTATACTTCCGTAAATCTTTGACCCCTTTGTAAGTATTTCAGCTGAAGACAAAGATGTAAGAATGGTTTAAAAGAGAAATTTAAGCCATACTAGTTGAGGTGACATTTATAAAGTGTAGATACAGAAAGGTTGAAAATAAAAGGATGGTAAATGCATATACAACACAAATACAAAGAGAAAGCTGTTTGAACAAAAGTAAACTTTAAGGCAAACATATTATTAGAGAAAATGAAGTTCACTACAGAATGATTAAAGATTTAATTCACCAAGAAATATAACATTTATGTGCATCTATTAATGTAGCCTCAAAAATATATAAAGCAAAAAATTGATAGAACTACAGAGAGAAATAACATATCCATCATCATGGTAGGAGGTTTTTAACATTTCTTTCAATAATTGATAGATGAAACATTTCTTACAAATCGGTAAGGATGTGGAAGATTTAAACATATAACAAACTGTATCTAGTGGCCATGTACAGTATATTGTACCCAAAACAAATGCAGAGTACATATCTCAAGCACACATGTAAGATTTGTGAAATTGAATCAAATGCTAGATATAAAGCAAAATCTCAAGTTTCACAGCACTGATAACATACTTATTACATTCCCTGGCTACAGTGCAGTACAGTAAGATCATTAGAAATATCTAACAAGTTTGGAAAGTGGGAAACATTTCTAAAGAACTCCTAGGTAAAAAAAAAAATATAAATTAGAAAATATTTATGATTGAGTTAAAATATTAGGTAGTATTTTGAGAGAAATTTATAGCCTCAAGTATTTATATTAGAAAAGAAGGTAGAAAATTAATAAAGTAAATATCCAACTTAAGCTGGATGAAAGATTTTTAATAATAAACCCATAGATAATGAAAGAATAGAAATAATAAAGATAAGATAAATTAATAGAAAACAATATACAATAGAGAATAGAAATATAGAGAATGAGTACACAATAGAGAAAATCAGTAAAACCAAAAGTTGGTTATTTGAAAAGGCTAATAAAATTGACACTTTTGTAAAACCAATCAAGAAAAAAATGAAGCTACCAATAAATATTACCAGGAATGATAAAGAAGACATTAAAAATAAGGACAATTAATAACTGTGTCAATAAATTTGAAAACCTAGATGATATGGACAAACTCTTAGAAAAATATGAATTACTGTAACTGATATAAGAATTAGAATACATGAATAATTAGTCCCATAACTATGAAATAAATTAATATTGGAAATATATTTCCATAAAGAAAATTTTAGGCCCATAGAATTTTACTGGCAAATTCTAGCAACATTTAAGGAACAAATTAATAACAATTTTATACAAACTCCTTCAGAGTGTAGAGAAAGAGGGAACACTCACCAAACCATTTTATGAGGGTAGCATAACAACGATTCCAAAATTTATAATGGGCTGTAACTTATCTCATGTGTAAATGAATGTAAAAATCTTAAAAAAAATATTAGCAAACTGAATCCAGC